CCCCACCTTCAGCATCGCACACAAAGAACACCCTCCCCCCTCCCCACCCAGCAGACGCACCCCACAGACCCCACTTCACTCCACGCAGGGCGATCCCAGCCTTTATTGCCGACCCCGTCATCCCGCGTATCCCAGCTCCTCCTCCTCCTCCTCCTCGCTGTCCTGGACGAGCCCGGGCTCCTCGGGGCTGCAGGCGAGGCACGTCCCGCCCGCCTCCGTCCAGCAGCGATCGCAGTACAAGGCCCTGCAGTCGGGAGCGGGGCAGACCTGGTGCCAGGGGGTGCCGGGCGTCCCACACAGCGTGCAGCTCCGGCGCTGGCAGCGGCGCAGCCAAGGCCAATGCTGGCTGCACCACTCCAGCAGCGACGTCCCCTGCGGCGAGCACGGACCCGTGTGGGGTTCTGGCAGAGCAGCCACCCCACAGCAGTTCAGGGGACAGCGAGGCCCCCCCCTCCCCAAACTCGTCGTGTCCCCCACCCCGCTCACCAGCCCCGGGGGCTGCCGTGCTCTCCGGGCGAGGCGCCTCCGCTGCAGCTGGAAGAAATTCCTCCTTTGCCGCAGCAGCTTGTTGTACAGGAACAGCACTCGAGTCTTCTCCCGCTGTGCCAGTGAACACCGTGAGGGGTGGGTGGCTGGGGGCACCAGCCCCGCCTCAAAACCCCAAACCCCGCCCCAAAACTCACCCCCTCAGGCCGTGCCAGGGGGTGTCGGGGGTGCTGCTCACCTTGGGGAAGTAGAAGGCGGCGATGGCTCGGCGCAGGCGGAACGGGTAGACCTGGGCCAGGCAGAGCAGGGCCAGAGCAGCCAGGGGCAGGCAGGTGTTCAGGTACTGCTCCCTCGTCATGCCGTGGGGCCTCGGCAGGCAGGCTGGGGACACGGCACGGGCGTGAGCCCCCCTGCAGCAGGCAGGGGTCCATCCCCAAGGTCCCATCCCTGGCAGGGGCTCACCGAAGTTGGAGGTGTCCACTTGGGTGTCGAAGGAGGTGTTGAGGGCGCCGATGGTGCTCCGCAGCAGCTGCGCCATCAGGGACGTGCCCATCACGTTTACGGACATGTGGTGGCTGGCTGTGGGATGGGAGGATGGGAAGGATGAGGAGGCAGGGGGAGGGCTGGGGGGGCCCCCTGCATTGCCCTGCAGAGCACAGAGGGGCCGTGGGGCTGCCCCTCAGGGCCGTGGGCTCACTTTGGTAGGAATACTGCACAAAGGAGTGGTTCTGGATGATGCTGAGAACGCTGAAGATGAAGTGGTCCAGGCCACAGACAAAGGCAAGGAAGAGCAGGAGTGGGATGCACCTGAGCAGTTCCATCACCTGCGGGGAGCAGGGTCTGTCACAGCCTGCTGGCCCCTCCAAGCCCCGACCCCCCCAGCCCTTCCCAGCCCCTCACCATGTACTTCAGCTCGGGCCGCTGCAGGGCCAGGCGGCACGGGAAGACGAAAGCCGAGGTCTCGTCCCGGAGCAGGGGCAGCAGCGTCCGCTTGTTCTGGGTGAGGGGCAGCGGGGTGGTTCAGCACAGCCCCCCAGAACCCTTCAGCGGGGGTGGGAGGCCGCCCTCCACC